CTCTCAAAGTGATGCTTTTATTATGCTATGTCTTTTAAACTGAAAAATTAAAATAAACTATAGTCAGAGGTCTTTGAAGAATAACGGTATTGGTACATATTGACACAAATGCAAAGCATAAAAGGTTGCAATTTAAAACACAGACCAGAAACATTCTTCTAACATCACCAATTAATTCACAGAACATACAAATTGCTTTGACTATGCTACGTCTGTACATTGAAATATAACAACCAGCATAATACCCAGCACCCGTTAACTTACTCTACTTCCTCCTTTGCCTGATTTCTAATTAGAACTTGCTAGTGTAAACTAAAGGATGCATCAAATCTTTCACAAAAAAACAGAATTATAAATATCGTTTGCACTTGCTAATGTTATCATATTAATGATTTGTATCAGTTTTTGGCCTTACATCTGATCAGAATGGAAAGCAAAAGGAACAACTGCGTTTGCTGCTCTTCCTAACACAGAGATGGAGCTCTCTCCAAGAGGGGTTAACTGTAATGGAAAAATAAAGAGAACAAATTGAATGTTACAATCTACAGAAAATTATAGAATGTGGGGAGTGGGGGGAGAAATCACAGCCTTCTAGAATTTCAGTGACTACGTATTAATTCAGGAATATCTCTAGCTTTTCATGTTATTCTGCATGGTACAACTTACCATGGAAAAGTCAGTATTTTAACTAAGGATGAAGTTTATCAGTTTGTCATAGTAGACAGAAAAATGAAACACACACACACACACACGCACAAATTAACAATTACCTTTAAACCAACAGGTTTCAATTTCTCATTTCTCAAAATCAGCTGAAGGGAGCATTTTCTATTTTTTCCAAAGGTAATACCAAGTGGGAGACTTTCAATGGAAATTTTTACTCAAAGGAGAAAGGTTTGTGGGTTTGGGTTTTTTCATTGTTTTTTCTGTTTGTTTGGGTTTTGTTTGTGTTCTTTTTGTTGGTTTTGGTTTGATTTTTAAAGAAAGCTATGACCAAAGAGACATACATTGCATAATGGTAAGTCTGAATTGCATATAAACTCAATTATACAGTTCACCACCATGAATTCAGTAATCTGAGTCATATTACCTCCAACTGTGAGAAAGTCAAGCACCTTATGGGAAGAACAGGGCAGTTCCTGCCATGGAAACACCTGCAGCTGCTGAGCCAGGTGCTGGCTCTGCTGGAGCTCAGGCAGGTCTGCAGCCACTTTAGCCCAGAAGGAAAGTTCCTGGAGGACACAATCGAAGACTCATCACCTGGAGCTGGGCTTCAACCTCCTGCACCTACTTCTCATGTTTCCCATGAAGGTCTTTCACTTGCACATTGATCCTGTCTATCCCTTGTTCTATTGAAGCCATTAACAAGATAAAAGCTTCAGTTAGTTAACTCCTGCTATGGATTACATACAGCACGATTAATCTTGATAAGTATGTGGTAATTTATCCAACAATAAATTAAAAAGTACATTCTCCTCTTCATGTACTGACTTTCAACAAATAGTTATTTTTCTCAAATGCAGTTATTAATCCTAAACATGTAACACAACTTTGCAAAGATCTCTGGCAAAAACTTTATGCCAAATATCTAAAATATATTAAATTGTGCTTTTTTTTCCCCTCCCAAAAAAGATTTTCATCTTTGTGTTTTAATAGCATTGTCCCTCAAAAACTGCTTAGAAAATTTTCACTTTTGAACTTTTTTGTTTATTTGTTGTTTTTTTTTCTTCTGGTGTTCTCTGTGCCTTAGTTTGCATTGACCAAACAGAAGAAGGAAAAATATAAAGGAAGAAAAATATAGAAAATTGTAATCTCAATTTTTCTATGACTAAATTATTGATTTTATTAATGTCAAAAAGGCAAACCAACAAAAAAAGTAGTCACCTTTGCAATGTTGTCCCACCCCAGACATGTCAAAAAAGTCACAAACCTAATTCTCATTGCAGATAATTAAGAACATATAGTTAAAACATCAGACATCTCAGTATATGGTACTGATTGATTTTGCAACCTGAACACTTAAATTATATTAATTTTTGTAATAACTGTAGCAATAAGTTAAAGTTCTCTGGACCTAGAAATACACTAGTCTGATAAACTCTCTAACAAAAGCTCTCCAAATAAGGAGAGGAAGTATTCTTTACTCAACTGTATAATGCTTATTTCTACTATATTTGTCTTACACACGTACAATATATTTCATTTATATGAACAAATGATTTGTATGGAACTGGCAAAGACTCCAAGTTTCACATACCTCTCAGGAAACACAAAGGGCATGAAGACGACTTAGTATGTTTTTACACATAGGTGGCTGTCAAAATAAGTGAAACATTCATAATTACACTTTTCCTTCAAAATCTGCAGGAATCCTAAACAATTTAGAAACAATTAGGATTTACGTATTTCAACAGGCAAACTGAATGCAAACTGAATGCAATAAAATACTCAAGTGTTACTGAGTAATTATAATTCATGAGACATCAACCATGCAGCTTGCCTGCAAAACGAATACTGCAAAAAAACCTACTGAAATTATAGGAAAATAACTTCTATATTTAATTAAAATTAAAAAGAGCATAAAGGTTATTACATAACACCATAGAGGTTACAACATAACGCAAAATTATGTAACACATGCATGTAGTGATATGCTTTTCTGTCACACACCAGTGTAACACCCAAGTCACTTGTTCCACGCTGAACCGATACATAACAGAACAACAGTACGTGAAATTGGGTTCTCCATATGCAGGTCTTCTCCAGGATCCTCTGCATATGAATCTACAGTGTTAACTGCTGTGGCCTATTTTATACAATTACATTATGGTCCAGACCATATGTCTGTTGCTTTATTATGCTTTATTCTTTTTTCAATTCAGATCAGCCTAGGGGACACTCGATTCCAATTTCAAATCTGCAGATAGAGCTGAAGGTTACCCCTTTGCCTGCAGAAACCTTGCAGGAGGCTCATTCAAGCCTAACTAGTCATATGTAACTTGAGCCAAGGACCTTTGAAATAAATGGGAAGATATCACTTTGAAGTTTTCTATAACGCTGAAAACAGTGACAGCTCCTGCATGTCCCTGATCAACTTTGTTAGAATTGCTAAGTGAGCCGGTTTCATTAAAAGAGGGAACCTGTAAACTTGAGTGTACAACTTCCTTGTAAATGGGAAGGAAACCTGTTGTCATGAAGCATTATAGGCTTCCAAAAGGGAAAAAAAGGAGGTTGAAGACAAACAGTCTCATAACAAAACAGGAGGCTTCCTAGAAAAAACTAAGACTCTCCAATATAGACCCTGTAATTATAATTACTCCTATGAGTGGCATGCCTTCTTCAGCTTCTGAGAAAAACAAAAAGTGTCTTCTGCTTGTTTTCTGGAGAAAAGTAATGCCGTTGGAAAGGATTACTACAGGGATTGAGTGCTGGGTCTCAACACTGAACCTGTAACATACAGATGTCCATGCAGAAGAATGGGATCCAACCTATTAGCAGAGAAGGAAGGAAGCATTAATCACTAAATATATCAACATCTTCTATTGCTAGCTATTTCCATCACTAGCAATACTACTATTGCTATTTCTTTTTTGCTCAAGTGGAAAATCTACCATGTGATAAACAGACATGAGCAGAGAGTCCACTGTGAGATAAAGAAGTATGCTGTTCATTTCAGCATAATAGTCCCCGCTGCAGTTCAGAAAGGAGCTGAATTCTTTTCCCATGAAAACTAGAAACAAGATGTCCCGATACAAGTTCATTTTACAGAACAGACAGGTCCAAAATGAATATGAACCGTTTGCTAATGACAAAGCCTTAATATTAACTGCTGATAACTCAGGAATTTCACATGCAATCACACTCAGAAGTTACAGTTTTACTGTCCTTGCAGATAAAAATTTCTCAGTTATCTAGCTGTGGTACAAGAGGGCCTGTGGGAACTCTTTCCAAGAGTTTTACTGCAATAAACAACTCAATCTGATAACATGAAGAATTTGATTGTTACTTAGTTGTAAAGCAGTATTTTTCCCAGCACTCATTAACAGAATTAAGAAAACAAAAGGTAGTTAAGTGGGATGAAGAAATCCAGGGCATCTCATTCAGCAGG